TTCTCCATTTATCAAATCTTGGACTTTTTTACATTTTTACCTAGTAAATAATTTTTAAAGCATTTTTGATTACACAATAAATATCTTGAATCAACATATATGAGGAAATAAAAAAGCAGAGAATCACAATTTATGATTAATTGAATTTTCTAAACAAAGATATTTTAAATTTCTTGTGAATCCCTACTGAGCTCTTAAGGGCCAGCTTAAACACCAAGTGTCCCATGCAACTTTTCCTGGTATTCTTATTAGGGTGACTTCTTGCTCCTTTGAGTCTTATAGCACATTGTTCTATGTCTGTTGTGGCATTCACTGTCTGTTTTGCATCAGCCTTTTTTTCATGTAACCTGTCATTATTAGTCTGCAACATCTTTGAAGGTATGAGTGTAGTTTAACCATATCTATAGCCCTGCAGGGTTTATCCAGTGTCTTTCATGGAGGAGTTAAATAATTTGTTGGATTCATGAGAAATATAATATTTTTATTCTTTAAAACCAAAGTCTTTTATTAGGGTTTGTCCTTAGAACTCTGCTATTATAAAAGAACTCTCTGACCAAAAATTTTGATTGCAGTTTCTCTTTACAACTCTAGCAATAAAAAAGAAAATAAATGTCAGGTTGGGTACAAAGTGACTTTAACATGAAAGGAAAAAAGTAAGCAATTATGAAACTCATTTTTCCAGCAGGTATAAAATATCACTTTATACCAAGCTGTATTTGGGCACTAGCATCATCCATCTTTCTGGATCACAGAATGGAAAACTCAAAGTTGTTTGGTTCTTTTCCTGTGCCCTTCCTTTGTAGCTGGCCATCAGGTGTAGCAAACCACATCAATTCTCCTATATAAGCTTATTGTTTTTAGTCCGCATCAAAATGATGAGTAGAGAAAGTAATGACTGTCCTTCTTGATCAGCTGAAATTTCATTCTGATTGGTCTGGGTCCCCTTTCTTCAGTTCCTCTCCTCTCAGTCCATCCTGACTTGTTGCAAAAATAAAGGCTTTTATTTCCCATAATACCCATCTGATAAACTCCTGGCCTTTTATGCTGATATTCAATATTCCAAAACATGCCTACGTATACGTTTCTGATAACAAACTTCAACTGGTGAAACTTATCACACAATTTCCTTCATGTATTTTCCTTCATCCTTTTTCACACTCTACATTCTATTCATGCTATTCCCTCTGAGCAAACAACTTCCTCTTTCACCACTGCCAATCCAAATCCAGTCCACCTTTCAAGACTCCAACTAACTTCTGTCTCTTCCACAATGTCTTTGTCTTTGGTGGATCAGTCTGCATCACATTGATCTCTTCCTTCATTTGAATTCCACATTTTATTTTTTGCATACATTCCTATTGACACTTAAATGAGAATATTATTTATCTTTTAACAGTCAAATATCTTGATAATTCAATGAATTTATATATTCTCAAAAGCCAGGAATCATCTATTGTATTATATCATTAACCCAAAGTACCAAAGAGCTCATAAAATAGTAAGCATACAATATATTTTTGATTATTGATATTAAGGACTTGATGTGAATGGTTGAATGGAATTATAACTGGGAGGTCAACATATAAATAAAATGTATATTGCCATTGTGATCTCTACACAAAGATTTATTTTAAAATCAAAATTAAAATCTGTATTTTTTTTGGCTACTAAATCAGAAGATGATAATACATCATCTATGTTTGAATAACTCTGCTCCTTTAGTTCATTCTTAGACCTTGGGTAATGATAATAATGCACTCAAGCTTTATTCTGTGGTTTTAGACACCTGGACTACAAGTATTTTCTTAGTATGGACAACTCAATGTAAATAATTATATACATTTGAAAAATAGTAGATTTCTGTGGAGTTATATTTCAATTTCCACATTTCAGCAATAACCTATGAAAAGTCTGTTTCAATTAAGACTGAAAATTATGAACAAAGCAATATTAAAAAGAAGTAAACTAACAGAAGAAACTTATAAAATATTTATAGAATGTGTAATATAAAGGAACCCACCTGTACGTTCATGTCAAAGCCAATTTCACGAAAAGCATTTATGACAATGATGTTATTGTGCAGATATTGTTCAGGACGTTTTGGTCTTGTGTACATATTTATAAAATGAGACTCAATCTGGAAAAGACAGCAACCAAACCCTTTGGTAATGGAATAAAAATTGCTACTTTTTAAGTGTTCTTTGTAGTTTGGCAAAGAATGATTTAAATATTAACGTATGTTAGTAATAGACTATTACAATCAAAATGTAAGAATAAACAAAAAGGAAATGCTAGCTATTCAGATTCAAGTGTTTGACTCAAAATTAAGACATTTAAAAGAATCAGTTTATAGGAACTATACTTCAAATTTTAATAATTAAATTCTTTCAAATAATAGAAGACCATGGTGCTTAAAAATGACTCTTACCAAAAATGGGCAATAGGCTGCCAACTGTGTTGCAAAAACAAGGCCATCTACAAGGTCTTTGTCGAAATTTACTATCCATCTCTCAGAGGGGATAATATCTGTTTCAAAAAAGGGGAGAGTAAATATAACAATAATTTTACTTTGCTAAAAGTTATGGAAATTTGAGCAATAGCCAAAGAAAATTATACCTTTGCTGGGAAAACAAAATGCATATTATTTTGAAAATAAAAATAAATTTTAAACTTCAGAAGCTTAATACTATGAAAGTTATTTGTAAGGCTTTATAAGCAACTTCAAGCTTTCTTCTTTATTTTGATGTCAATGAAAAATACGCTAATCCAATACTTCAAAATTATTCATTCTGTTGAGTACCTTGAGGTTGACATGTTTGATCAGTGATCATCAGCATGGGTAAGGAGGCTCAGAAAGCATGGGATTACTTGTTAACTCTAGAGTATGTGCACCAGTTTCCCTATTTGTTGCAGAAATTACTCCACATGGAGATAAGTATGTGGAAGGGGTTGGAGATTTATGGCTTAACAAACAAAAACTGACCTGTTAAAGACAATACAAGATAGAGGAGTAATAAAAGGAATTCTCAATTATAGACAAGATTACTATGCTGAGATTGGAACAAAAAGTGAAAATACCTGGATATTAAGTGAATATCTGAAATACTGGCCTATACTGAGTAGAGGGTGATTTAAACAGTGCAAATTATTGCTATGTTGAACAAGACATTTCCTTTCTTAGAAAGTTTCTAAAAAGGTCCTAGATTCTTCATGGTTGAGATAATTTCCTATCTGAAAACAAGGGGAAAAATTGGTGATTTTCATAAATGCTTCCAAATCCCTTCATTCCCATTTTTTTAATGATCCATAGGGTTTTTTTTTTCAGGATATTATGGGAGTACAAACATTTGGTTACATATAATGCCTTTGCCTCACCCAAGACAGGGCTATAAGCTTGCCCTTCCCCCATACAATGCACACCACATCCATTAGTTCTGAGCTTACCCACCTCCGCAACCCCACTCCCACCCAACCAGTACACAATGAACATTACTTCCATATGAGCACCTTAGTGTTCATACACTAATATTCACTCTTTGTGGTGTACACTTATAGGAATTTTAGGGATACATTTACATGTATTCACCACAATATTTCCATACAGAAAAGTTTTATCACCCACAAATTTCTGATGTGCTGCACCTTTGTAATCAACTCCTACCCTCATCTGTCAGCCCTTAGCAAACACCAATGTGTTTTTCATCCCTGTAATTTCACCTTTCCCAAAATACCATAATCATGGACTCACACAATATCAATATGTAGTCTTGTTTATCCAGCTTCTTTACTTAGTGAAATGCATTTAAGATGGATCCGTGTTGTGTGAATCATTAGGGTGTTTATTTCCTTTTAATTGTTGAGTTAGCATTGTATTTTATGCTACTCAACACAGACTGTGTATCCATTCACTGATTGAAGGGCTTTGGTTTGTTTTCAGTTTGGGAGCAATTATGAAAATCTGCTATAAACTTTCACATACAGAACTTACTGTGAACATCAGTTTTAATTTCTCTTGAGTAAATACCTAGAAAAGGAATTGCTGGACCTAGTAATTGTACTGAACAATTTTCATATGATTATTTTCCATCTCTCTATCTTTTTTTGGTGAAGTATTTGTTCACAACTTTTGACTGTCTTTCAAGTCGGGTTGTATATTTTCTTATTAAGTTTTGAGAATGTTTTATGTATTCTGCATACAAGAAATTTGTGGGTTATGTAATTCAAAAATATGCTCTCTAAGTCTGTAGCTCGTCTTTTAATTCTCTTAACAGTGTCCTTCACAAAGCAGAAATTTTAGTATGGTAAAGTCCAATACATTATTATTTTTTATGGATTATGCTCTAGCCTTATATCTAAGAACTCTTTGTTTAAGCCATGGTTATGCTAATGTTATCCTATGACTTTTATAGAAGTTTTGTGTTTTATATTTTATATTTAAATCTATGTTCTACTTTGAGATGATTTTAGTATGAAGTGTGAGGTATAGGTCAAGGTTCATTTTTTGCACATGCACCTATAAATGTTCAAGCTCTATTTATTGCACATACTATCCTTCCTTGATTGAATTGCTTTTGCACTTTTATAAACACACAAAAATCAGTCGATTATATTTGTATAGGCATATTCTTGGTCTCTCTATTCTATTCCTTAAATCTATACATATATCCTTTTATCAATACCACACAGTCCTGATTATTGTAGTTTGTAAATTTCTTTAACTTTTTCAAAATTGTTTTGGCTATGGTAGTCCCAATGCTTTTATATATACATATATACATTTTTATACCAACTTATTCATATCTACAAAAAATGTGATGGAATTTTTATTGGTGTTACATTTAATCTACATTATCAATTTGATATCCTAATAATATTTAATTTTGCAACTTAAGTTTATACTTAGGTATTTCATTCAATGGTGCTATGTTAAATGGTATATTTTTATTTCAAATTCCAACTGTTTACTGCTAGTATATAGAAATAAAATTTATTTTTGTGTACTGATCATATATCCTGTGATCTTGATAAACTCATATACTAGTTCTAGGAATTTTTTGCAATTTTTTTTGGATTTTCTACTTGATAGTCATGTTGAATTTTTGCCCCCTTCTCAGGGGTAGAGGTGGGGTTTGCTGCTGTTGATAAATTTTTCTTTCTCTCTCTCTCTATTTCTTTCTTTTTTTCCAGCTGCCATGAGTTTTCACTTGGGCCTTCAAGATGACAGTATGTGTTGTCCTTCCCATAGATTAACACATCTGTTCTATAAGGGTGTAAGTCCCCTCTAAAACTCACATCAAAATTTAATTGCCACTGTAATAGTATTAAGAGGTAGAACTTTTAAGAGGTGATTAGGCCATGAGGGTTATGCCTTCATGAATAAATTGATGCTGTTCTCACGGATTAAGTTAGTTGTCATGGGAGTTTGGCTCCCTTTTTCTCTCTGTGTCACATGCTTCCACATCCTCTCTTGCATTCTCTCACCATGTGATGCCTTCCATCATGATATGGTGCACCAAGAAGGCCCTCATAAGATGCAGTCTTTTGATTTTGGACTTCCCAGCCTCCAGAGCTGTTAGCCAAATAAACTTTTACTGTTTATAAATTACACAGATTGTGGTATTCTGTTATAGCAACGCAAAATGAAGACAGGTATATAGGAGGCTGGGTGAATTGCTTGCCTGTATTCCAGGTCTGAATTATGGGGTACACATTTTTCAGACTAAATCCAGTCATTTCTGTGACTGACTGGTGAGGTTTATGGAGTAAAAACCTGCAGGAAGATGCAGACTCTTCCTATAACTGTGGCCCCTAGGGACTTCATGATCTCTTACTGTATATACTTGCCTTCTACCAATTCACCAACCACCCTAACTCAACCATTCTTAAGAGTGTCAAGCTTGTCAGGTAGACCACTGCTATAGTCTCATTTCTTCTGGTAAGCACCTGTTCCTCCCTGGATTCAGGGCAACTTTGTGGCCCTATAACCACAGCTTTCTGGAGAGCTCAAGAAAAATTGAAAATTTGGTGTTCGTATGGCGTTTGCTGTTATAAGGATATGAGCAAAGCTCTTTCCAGTTCTCTACCTTCCCAAGTAGAAACCAGTGGTACCTATTTTACTTCAACACATCACAACTTTGGAACTGCTTTGAAATTACTTGTCAAACATCAGTAGTGTGGGCTGTTGCTACTCAAATGTGGCTCATAGTAAGAATAGATGGCAATGATCCTTCGAGGACAACATTGGAAAGAGGTAAAAACAAAAGTTTAAAGCTCTTCTCTAATCTCTAATCCCGTGTTTGTATCTTTTATGTGTGTGTATGTGTGTGTGTATATATATATATATATATATATATATATATATATTCAAGGTTGTTGCCAAGCCCTCATCACAGTTTAACACAGTTTTAGACATGTCAAGAATTTTCTTTGTGTTCATGATAGTTCCTTTGATATAAGCTACTCTCTCTTCTATACTCCCTTTAAGGTTTTGCTACCTTAACCGAGCAAAGTGAATCAGCAGCACCTGCACCAAATGGAACCTTGTTGAAAATGCAGAATTTCTGACTCCACTCAACACCTACTGAAACATAAAAATAGGTTAACAAAATCTCCAGGTGATTTGTATTCACACTGCTATCTGAGACATGTTGGTCTATGGTTGTTTTCTGGAGAGGGAATCAGGAGTCTAATCTAGCTATCATTTGTCAAGAACCAGAACAATTAAGTGATGCTCTGCACATTTTTTAAAATTTTAATTGGGAAGTTATGTTTTAATCCATTTTCACATTACCTCACTTCAAGTATGTGGATATATTAAAATAGTAATAAAAGTCCTGGTATTAAACAGTATTATGAATTAGAGATATGACTGTTAAAGATAAAATTGAATCACTTAATGCATTGAAAGAATAAGTGCATTCACTTATTTTTAAGAAGATTATAATTTCTATATAACTTCTATTTTAGGTGATTATAATACTACATTTTTATAACAGTTTTATTGAGATATAATTTACATAACATAAATTTCACCCAATTTGATTGTTCAATTCATTATTGTTTAGTATATTCACAGAGTTATACTATCTACTTTCAGAATATTTTTATCAACACATAAAGAAACCCCATACTCATTCATTGTCACTTCCAATTTCTCTCTTCCCTCATATCCTGGAAATGAATAAATTTGGTTTCTTACATTATGGATTTGCCTATACTGGACACATCATAGAAACGGAGTCATAAAATATGTGCCCTTTTGTGTTTTGATGTCTTTTATTTAGCATAATGTTTTCCAGGTTCACTAATGTTGTAGCATGTATCAGTACTTCATTCCTTTTTATGGCTGAAAACTATTCTACTTTATGAATATACCACATTTTGTTTGCCCATTAGTCGGTTTATGGACATCTGTGCTATTTCTAATTTTTTACTATTATCAATAATGCTGTTATGAACATTTGCATAGGAGTTTTTGTGTGGTCATATAGTTTCAGTTATCTTGAGTATAAACCAATGAGTGAAAC